ACACCGAATATTTAGTAAACTTAAAACATATATACAGTTTCTTATAAACAGAACAACCCAAGATACAAACACGAACCTCGGAGTCTAGACCATCAGAATAGTCTTTAATCAGCTCATCATCATCAGAAAATAACTGAACCACGTAATGCGACCGATCCGATTTCAGATTATCGCCACCTATACTCACTTTAAAAAGAAACCGCCTCCCGACCAATGCCCCAATCTCCGAGGGAAGTATAGAGGGGTCATTCTATCATTAAACCACGCAAACAGATTAAACATACAAACAAATAATCGTTAAAAATATAAATAACAACCCAACAAACAATAGCAACAGCGTATCCATTACCTCAGAAACTGCATTATAGAGCTCCTGTGCAGTTCTACGAAGGAGCGTACTACCCATTGCATCAAACAACAAAAACCTTGCCTTGTAGTTAGTTGCATCAGAAACCTCCAGAACCAATCGGTATCTAAAACAAACAGTTATTCCAGAACAAATAATGAACAACCGAGCTCCAAAACTACACACACCAACATAGTATAATGGTATTAACATGCACAAGACGGCATAAACAATGCATTCAAAAGACACGATCACCTGAACACTACCGCAGAGACATCCTTGTCACAAACGCCGAAATAGTAAAGAGGTGGTTTTCCATCATCACCAGAATTTTCTGGATAAGGCTCGACACTCTTATTGCACATCTTACACGAAACGTAATACCATTTCGACGTTCGCTCGACGGATCCAACAGTGACCATGGTCACACACATACCCTCCTATAGATTTTAGAGATCAGACTTAAAATACCAACCAGTTCTAAATCACAAACAAATATTTTTTTTTTTACATTTTAAAACGTATGAATATAAGGAATAACGCATAAATTTATGGTGTCTACCTCTAACGCCTCGACTATATCTCGGACAGTTCGTTTATGATTCTTCACCAAGAATTGATCACGTATCGATACAGTTGATCCAGCAAACAATTCACTATTGTCATGATTAGTCAATACCACGCCATCGGTTGGTAGCCTACAAAAAGAATTCTATATTAATATCTATACAGACATATACAATAACACAAAACATAATAAATAAACAATTATAGGTCTATTACCCTGATCTGAACCCATCAACAAAAACGCCTGGAGGATCGAGTAATACACGTGTTGCGCCCATAGCATTAGATATAGTCCAATTACCTAAATAAGTTAACAATTGAATTTAGAACAGTCATCGGAATATTTGAAGTTTATTCGACCAACATATATACCTTTCCACTCCTTGACCTGAGCACACCTAATCACACAAACAACAGCCGCTGGATTTGCTTCAGTATAAACCTTAACTTGCTTAGCAAAATCCGCCCATAGAGTACATATTAACCGTACGTTCCTGATTACGTGATAAACACGTTTAAAAAACGAAACATACAGAAAACCAAACTCTTATAATGACTGTTCATAATTAACATACCCACGATCACGCAACTCGACGTCGAGCTTTGGAGTACTTTTTCCTCTGATTTTTATATCCTCGATCGGTCCAACGTTGACAATCTGACCAATAACATCTACAACAATACGTATCGTTATTTAGCTTGACAGCGATAAAGATAAACAAATACCAAACTAATTAAGATATTTTGTTTTAAACCAGACCTACCAACGAAAACACGCGTGTCTAGTGAACCATTTAAAACATCATCAAATTCCACAAAATACTTCTCAGGGACTTCCTTTGGAAAATCATCACATGGTTTGACCTGGGTTGTTCGGTAAAACAAAATCTTGAAAGAAAGACTGTTGCTCTTATAATCGCCAGAGTACTTGATGAGCTTGAAAGGATTCAAGGTAACGGCATCACCTTCTTTCAGGACACCGTCGAACTTTTTGATATTTTTGTCCTCAACAGTTGCATGGATTCTTGAACCCTAATTAAAACCAAAAAGAGAATATGCTTAGCATACTTATACGTTACAAAAACAAAGCAAACACATGATATAGAAGACATAATATCAAATAATAATCAAATCATAACCTTTTCATCCACCAAAACCATCTCGATTGTGTTGCCCGCATCTTTCTGATACGCCTTCCACAGCCTCAAGATTAACACCTTAATCTTATACTGATCGTGAATAGGATTGATATCATCGATGAAAGTTAGTGAATTTTTGCTTTTTCTGCTTGACGACATTTTTAACGCACAAAAGTATAATATCTTAATAGATTTCGTTAATGTCGAAAGCGAGCAGTAGATCCTATATATAGCCATAAAATGTTTAGGGTTTAACCGACCTTTTCGAATAATATAGAATAAAATTTAATAATTATGGATATTAACAAAATCGAATTAAGAGATAAATGTAAATCTTCGATATTAGCATATAAAATTTCCTGGAAATATTATAACTTTACCAAATAGTTATAGATATTTTCGAATCCAATGCGTAGATAAAAACCGCAATATTTACTTTTATCGTCCCGCTAAATCATAGATTAAGCATGTTTACATTTTTGTGACAAATCCATAGTTTTATTTTCTGTAAACAAAGTCGATAAGAGTAAACTTGCAATGGAATCCAATTACAAAAATATTTATGTATTATGTTATTAATCTAAACTAACGAAGGTGTAAGTCCTTTGTCACTTTCCAGTTTTATAAAACGCATACACTTTGAAGCCTATGACTAAAGAAAAGAATCCTTTAATATTGGTCGCAGCCTCAACGAAATGATCAATTTAACATATATATAAAATATTATTTTAAGCCCCAACGAAATAACAAATTCGATGTAAATTTAAATGTTCTCGCTGACGAACGTATCACCGTCAATATATGATCCACAATAAGAACGTAACTATAGAATAAAAAATAAACAAAACTAAGAGATAATTGTGATCCGCATAATAGAGGTATCGCTGAAACAACTCTGTTAAAACGTAACGGAAATTGAAACATAATAACTTTAACATCCACCACCGGAGGCTATAAATCATTCCTTCTTCTTCAAGATACCCAACTACATGTTTTTCTTGACCCTTCACAATAACACCGAAGCGTAGGAATTAACAATATTATAGCCCAGACACCCAACATCATAAATCTAATTATACGGAAAACTAAACTTACAATTCATCGAAGCATTCCACTCCACGGATATCTGGATTAATCTCAATACGGGTACAATCTGTAGCATGTATGGCCACATCACCTGCACTCGATCAAACTAACTATTTAACATGCTAACATCTATAACAAACCCGACCATCTTATATACTAAGCAGGCAAAACAAACCTCCATAACAACGAATAAGTCCCCATCTTATTACACAAATAACAGCACCATCAGCTTGCTCTTTAAATGTATCGTAGAAAGTCATAGCGACTTTACCAAACAGGCGGCATCTCAACATAGCATTCCTTCACACGTAAAACGGTACATGTGTAAGGATATTAATTAGTATTTATCCCCTAACTATTATAAAAAAATTGCACGTACCGTCTGTCACGTAGATAGAAAGAAACTGTGCGATATATGCTATCATCCTCATCATAACCAAATTCCCCATACGTCTCTTCCTCTTCGTATTCTCCTTCCCCTTCATCGTCATCTACATCTTCTTCAACTTCTTCGTCTCCGTCGGTGTCTTCTTCTTCTTCTTCATCATCGTCCTCTTCGTCATCTTCACCAAATTCGGATCCTAGTCTTCCATGGCCTTGATCGTTTATTCCTCCTACTTCTTCAAGTAATTCTTTATAACCACCAGTAAGAGGACGAAAACGTTTTGTGGATGGAAATCCATACACATCCTCGCTAGTACGCTTCAAGGAGCGATTAGGTTCCTTGTTTTCCACGACTAATCTACTCTCGTTGTATCTCTCCAACCTATCTAGTAAATAATCATAGTCTGGTATAACTTCATCAGATAAAGGGACGCCCTTATCATTAAAAACAACGGAACCCTCATGTAATTTCGTTCCATTGGTTTCAGCTTCGATATTAGAAGTTTGGACATCAACAACCTCTCCAATCAAGTCTTGCACAACGGAAATATGAAACGTCAATAAAACAGTGAATATAACAGATAACATGTTAAGACACAATAAGAACCACAAATCTTACCAACCAAAAAGTCGTCAGAATATCTTCGGTCCAAGATACTTCCAAAATCAACAAAATCAAAAAACTTATTGTTATCGATATCAGGTATCTTGACAATCGTAGTGTTTTTCAAAAGAATCATCTTATAGCGGTGCAAGGTTGCTCTGCAATCCCCAGTCTGATGAACAACTTTAAAGTCCTTAATCCGAAACCAACCACCGCTAACTATTACAGACACAAATTTATCGTAAACCTCTCCCCATAGAGAGCACTGTATCTTGTTACCCTACAACGAACAAATCCATAAAAGTAAGATCCAAGAGCATCAGCTTATAAAAAAACAAAACATTATAATATAAACAAACCTCACGATCCGCGAGAACAAACTCTAAACGCCTGCCACTGTTTTCTGGACGCCGTGTCCACGAACAAAGAACCTTGGTTTCGACAACCCACTCGTACTTGGAAGGATTCAATCGCCAAAGAATATCATATGTTTTGGAGGTAAACATGACGACGATTATAACACGAATAAACGCGTAAGGGACTATATATTTATATGCTATGAATGAAACCAAAAATACCTAATCTACGAATAACTCGAATATTTATTTATATATGAATTTTATAAATTATTCGATAAGATTTCCGGGGATTTTCTATTTAGGTATAAATTTAACTAAATAAATATTGCTAACAACGCATATCGTTATTAATTTAATGATTATATATATACATACCTCATTAAGATTGTTCATTGCAAAAGTAATTCCAATCTCAATATCCCAAGAATAAACAACAGACACAGTCTAATTTTATCGATACTATGCATTTTTGTTTTTAATACGATGTAGTTTTCGTTCGTGAGTAATCCAATATATAAATTAAATCTGTTTTATTTTGATAACGTTAAAGATAAATATCCAAAATAAAATAATGTGTATGACCGATAGACCGAGACGATAACATAACGTAAAAACATCTATAAGGAGATAAACTAAAATATAGATCTATGGTCACGTTCAGTCTTTAATCTTCTGTTTCTTCGCAACCGGACCGTGCTTGATCGAGAAGCTACAAAAAGCAAACAAACAATCGAATAAAACATGTATCAACAGGAAAAAGCGATGCCCATCAGCATTCCAAGCAAATGAGTAAACCTCAAACAAATATATAACGTACAATGATTTCATTTTTTTTACACCCGGTATCGAAGGATTCAACAGCAGTTTCGAACAGCGCACCCCTGAGCATATCCACATGCCTACGGATTAAATTGAAACCACACGTTAACCATGATTAACCGATGTTTCTAAACTATTTCTTCTATGCTACGTACCTTCCCTAAACTCGACACGGACAAATCGCAGTACACATATGATAACATCGGATGGATCAGTCATCCACAAACGATAAAGAGGTAAAGCATCTGTAATGCTTAAAACACATCTCAAAACTCTCTCACTGCGTTATATAGTTTAAATAAATCAGATCGATAAATAATCAACTCCTTCTGTGTATCAAAGTAGCATAATTAATGTACCTTGTATCCTGGAGATCAAAGACTATATGTTCCACCTGATCCTCATACACGTGACAACCAAAAGAGGTTATTTTACTAACGTTAATGGCCTTTCCGATGATATCTGCATGAATAAAAGCGTCGGTCGAAATATAAAATCGTAACACTAATTTATATAAAAAAAGAAACAACTGATAAAAACCATACCAACACAAATGGACGTATCATGCGACCCATTTAGGATTATCCCAAAATCCACGAAATCATAGAAACCATCACCCGATCTCTCCTGCAGAGTATCGCATAATGTTTTTTTATGAAATACCAGCTCAAATCTATGAGCAACAGGCTTCAACGCATCCACGACAGGTCTCAAAATAAAATCTGTTATCACTATCCATCGGTTCTCCACGATTCTCGACGAAAACTGTGGCATAAGCTCCATAGGTATGATACCGTGGATTTTCCCACCCTGAGATACGATATACACAACACATGATTACACTACGACTTATACATGCAAACTATACTAAAAAACAATAATCCACAGAACATGAGTTATACCTTATCATCGACCAACACGACGTCAACCGTCGAATAATGATCGTAGTACTCTTGCCAAATAGCAAGAACCTTTGCGCGAATACGCCACTCGCTGGTATCAGGATTCAGCTTCGAAAGAGGATACGGCTCCATCCGTAAAAATACAAAATCCCTAAGTCGAGGCAGAGCGAAGATATATTATAACTTGGATGATAAAAGAAAAGAGAACGATGCCAGTATTTATATACTTTTTTCGTGATATCTCCACCCGAAAATACATGCATATATATCACCAACCGTGAATAAATGTTAACAAATATTATTAAAAACTTATTCGGTTTTATCTCTATAATAAGTTAAAGGTAGTTATCATTTTAGCGTTCCAAAAAAAAGGGAATTAACATTCGTATTTTTACAAAATAAGGAATACGACCTTATCGCTACAGAATATTAAATATTTTATAAACTAATATCCCGAAAGATGAAATCTAACTTTACGATATTATATAGATCTGTTTTAACATATGTGATTAGTTGACATTTTACAGAACCATAAATGCATGGGCCAGAGCCCAATAACGAAATGATAATTTGCCATATCGTGGACGACAAATCGAAAGTATTATAGAAAATATACAAAACCGGTTAAGGTAGTTACCATTTTATATTTCTTAAAAAAGGAAATCAAGATGTGCGTACAGAAATCAACATGTGGGTTAGTTTACAATAAGAATACGACCATATCACTACATATTAATGTACTTATTGTTGATAAATATCCAGTTTATTTGTGAAATTGATACCTCAGCATTATAATGTATAGATTTTATACATGTGAAAATTAACATTTTACTGAATCTTACGTTCATGGGCCAAAGCCCAACTACGGAATAACAGTTTGTCATTTGTCTAAACAATCCGAACGTATTTGGTGGCAAAATAAACCGAACAGAAAGGGAAAAAATAATAAATCTCCCACCAAAAAAAAAAACAAAGAGGAAAGTTATCTGATCAACATCCAACAAAGAGTAAGAACAAAATATAAAAGATAACAGTACGTTTACAAATCGTAAATCAGACAGAAGAAACCACATGGTTTCTTGTAGTTCGCAGTTCCATAGATTATTACAATTATATTAGGCTTTTATTGATTGGCTGTTTATTTAGGCTTTTTTTTACTCCCAAGAAGATTGATTTTGCACGAATGACCGTTGATTTTTTTTAATAAAATTTTGTTATTCAAATAAACACATCGTGTATACAGTGTAAATGGTTCAAATTAATTAACGCTATAGTGATAAAGCATAATTTTCATACAAGATTTTCCATTATCCAAATCCGATCGTTTTTAGAAAATTAGAAACAACAAAGATAGAAATTAAAAACAACAAACATTTAAGTTAAACAGGAGATCCAAAGTTGATCCCTTTCAAGCACTGCTCCGGAACACATGAACTTCCTCTCAGTCCCTAGACCGCGAAGAGCCTTTCGAAGCAGACGACCTACAACGGAAATAACAAATCAATTACCAGACCTAAACAACTCCAAATGCTGGATTACATAAAATTAACATCAAACTTCTTACTTTACTCGGAAATCAGCAACCTCAGGCATATCAGGATCAAGATCCAAACGACTGCATCTACCAACCGATTGGATAACCATATGTCCTGAATTAATACGTTACATCGAACTTATTAAATTATCAGAATTATAGAGCTTAAAACATTTTACGGGAGCTATACAGACAAACGGCCGTTACAAATAAACAAAACATAAATTAGATACATACCGGAAACTTTATAGATTCCCCACCACCGCAAAACACAAACAACCCGCGAACTCCTAGTCCTTTTCCACTCATCGTGAAAATGCTCAGCAAGATCTCCGATAGCAACACACGGCAGTACATAATTCCTACAACAAACAAATGTAAAGATTAGCCCCTCTATACACGTAGCAATGTTACGAATATAGGTAAAATTAATAAGTCTCACTTTGCGTCCTTAATTTTGAAAGACGTCATCGCATAACCAGCGCTTCGTTTACTTGGGTCAGAGTATTTTATGTCGTCGATATCAACCACATACCCAATCAAATCTAGTGGTAAAAAGAGAGAAGAAAAATAAAAATTAAAAAGCAGAATACATGAACAAAATCAAAGAATATTATATATACTTACTTATCAGGTAAGTTCTTATGAGTTTATCATCCAAAACGTCAAGGAAAGAGGATGGATATAGTGCATAGTGAAGATCGTCTTTGTCAGGTATCAGATTCAAAATTGTCGAAGGAAGAAAATTGATCCGATAATCATGACGCGTAGTTCTCATATCCCCAGTTACCAAATCTAATTCGAAATGATGAAGAGCTATCCAGTCACCATCTTTGAACTCGGAATCATACTCAGTAATGAGTTCGGAATTGATTTTAGCCTCAATCATAGAACCCTATGATAAAAACAGAACGCCAAATGTATATAAGAACATAACATCAACATACGATAAACATCAATAATCTTAAACAAACGCTATTACCCTTTTATCACACAAAATCATGCGTAAAGTTCGATAACCGGCTTCAGATCTCTCACGCCATTTGTTAAGAACCTTAACTTGGATAGACCAACAAAGCTTAATCGGTTTTAAATCGTCGACATGCTCATCCATTATTTTTTTTAGTGACTGAGATTTTTTTCATGTGCTGCAAATTTAAACCAAAAAATTCCCAATTATATAAAGACAAGAACGTTTTTTTAAAAATACATATTTTCAAATTAAAACGCAAGCACAATTACATTGTTTATTTATCGTTACAATGCATTGCATCGGAAAAAACCACAAAAACTGATAAAGACATTATCGAGATACGCATAGATTTGACCATGCATAGAAATACAAGACCTATCGAGTACCATCAATCCAAACCAACAGGGCATCTTTTAGCCTGCAAAGAATCAGACAATAATTTCACATAGACCAATTCCACCACTACGGGGCACTTCGTTTAGTCATGATTTGTCTATTGATATATTAGGTGTTTATTCGTTTAGTTCATGATTTGTCTATTTATATATTCCGTATAAATCCGATCAAAACAAAAATATACTATTTTTTAAATTATGCCCGTTTCACGAATATTGCATCTTGTATATAATGTAGTTATCTAAAAGCTAATATTCGGATGTAATTTTAAATGTCAAATTTTTCCGAAGACACAACATAAAAACAATTAATTGGTATGTATATTTTACGCTCACTGGATATTTAGACAATAAGCACATATATATAAGATCGATTAAATAGTCAAGGAATAAGATGCAAACCGTGATATTTTAAAAAACTCAATTGTCGAATAACAGATATCTTTGAATCAGAAAAAAAAAAAAAAAACAAAAACAAAACACCAACTAAGTATTATAAGAAATCAAGGGTTCAAAATAGTTTTCTCTCCACAGAAGCAAAAGCAAGACGCATCCTCGAAGCTTCATCACACGAAGGATTGAATAAAAGTTCTGTGCAGGTACACAGAGTAGTAGCCCTCATATGACCTAATATATCAATAGACAAATCATGACTAAACGAATAAACACGTACACAATGTATTAGTGTTTAAATAAGTACCTCGATAAAGTTCTAGTCTAGCAAACCGCATCACACACAGGATGATGTTATCAGCACAAGTCTTCAGACCAGAAAAAAATTTCGTGGCATACCCCTTCGGCAAGCGACAGCGAATACGAATACCCCTGGTATATTTAAAGCATTATAATCAACTACACAAAATCCCCTCACACCCAAGATATATAAACCAAGTTTAGAACTCACCTAACATTCTCTAACTCCAAATATATCTGCTCCCACGTACTATTCAATCCCTCATCCTCGTCATAATTTCCAACACACATGAGACGACCAATCAAATCTACACAAAACAAACGACGACAATATCACGTTCACATGCAATATTTACTGAACATACCAAACAAAAGAGCTAAACTTACCAACACAAACACATGGATCGACTAAACCAGCAAGAACATCTTCAAAACGTACAAACTTAAAATAGTCAACAGAAGCAGTAACCACAGTTCTCTTAAAAGAAGTCGATAGATTCCAAAGAATTTTATAGGCATGCCTAGTTGGCCTAACAGACCCAACAGCGTCGACCAAGCCAAAATCTTTTATAAATATCCACGTTCCTTCGACAAGTCTACTCGAATCATAAGCGAAACAATCCAAACCAATTGAAGCTTGTATCCTGTCACCCTAGAAACAACCAAAGGAACGGTTAAAAAAATCAAAACTAAGATAAAACATGTCGTAACGAATCAGAATCGTTTATAGATTTTGCATGCTTTTAATATATAGCCTCGAGGTACCTTTTCGTCGGCTAGTATTAGCTCCAACGTGTCCAAACGTGAAGAGCAACGAAATCTTCTAATTATTATGAATCTTCCCATCATTCTTTCATTCATAGAAGGAATTAGATCAGATACACAGATGGAACTTCGGGGACGAGCCATCTGAAGGCAAGGAAACACTTTAGTATAACAGAACCAACCGCAAAACTATGTATATATATATATATATATATAAAACAAAACGAATTCCCATCGTTAAATTTGGTAGATATTGTTCGGAAAGATACAATAAGATATAAACTTATCACAGCAAAGGAATATTAACATTTAACAATAGAATAAAATATTTTTTTATTAAACAAAATAGATATTTCCATTAACTTTTCTATAACATTGCCAAACGAAAAACAGAAAATTTACATCCACAATAGAACGACATTATATTTGATCAAAATTTAAGCTTATCTTAAGAATATTTTACAATTTTTGTAGTTGACAATCGGAAAGATACAATAAGATATAACCTTATCAAAACGAAGGTATGTTAACATATAACTATTTAATCAAAAAATACCATAGAGGAATATATATATATTCCGATCAACTAATTTTATAGATAATTGCCAAATGAAAAAATATAAAATTTACATTCACAATGGAAACCCTATATATAAAGTTTAATATTATCTAAAATATTTTATATTTAAATGTTATCGATTTTATATTTTAAGGAGCCCTATATATAACACCACGTCGGCGTGACATCTAACCTAAACCTATAGCATCTTTATATATATAACAAAACCTATACATCAAATCATAAGGCACCGAATCATGGGTGATAATCACGACGAAGATCAAGTGTTCAAGGCATGGTTGGATCTAAATAAAATCAACTCGATGGCTAGACAATTAACATTCAACGAAATACCAAATCATTTCACGTGGGATAGGACCAAAAAACAATTTAGGCCAAGGAAAAGAGGACCCCCCAGAGGAGGAGTAATGTATGTTTCGCGTAAGATTAACAACAATCGTCACTTGAAAAGGCTCGCAAGAATGTTAAGAGGACCTACATGTGACGAAGAAGTCAGGACTCACGGAGGTATTGTTTATCCAACATACGAAGAAGCTTGTCGGGCACATGGGATATTAGAAGAGTGAAGAAACAACTATTATTACGAATCTATGTATCTCTATATAAAGTTTATTATTATAATATATAAAACATTTTATATGAATTATGGACTTCTTTTTTGGTATTTGTTTACATGCGGAGAGTCCAGTCATACTTGCAAGAATTTAACCGCGACATGTCATGAAATAAGTTTATCCTCGCCATAATATAGACACCGTGAAGCGTAATATCTATCGACGCAACAATTTATACTATTTTGAGTTCGAAAGCAAATAGTAATTAGGGCTACTTTATAATGGCAATCTCTTTTTTGGGAAAGATCAAAACAAAGTAAGCTTACATTTTAGATATATTCAACTTTTAACATATTTTAACGAAATCCGAATTAAAAAGGAAAATATTACATATATCTCTATAATCAGACCAAACTTATATTGAAAATAAATTTATAACAATAATATTGATCATAAATATCATATTAAGGACGTCATTATATGGTTATAACTTTCATTTATCAAGTGTATTTACGTTTTAATACGTATACAGTAGTAGCATTATATTAATTACGATATGTATATATATCAATATTTTTAATGCATATACTTGTACGCATGCACATATATTTATAAAAATATCATGTATAATTTATGTCTGTCATGAGTGAATAAAAACGACGATGGATGAGGTTGACGTTTAAATACCTAACGATAGTACGATATAATCCCACATCGGGACGGTTGACTAAAATAAATCATTTACGTTTAGATATAAAATGGCAACATAAAATATATAAATTGCGTCACTGGAATATTTAAAATCTTGGCATTTCTGCCTACAAAACTTGTATAATAATAAAAAACCAAGTAAAAATTAAAACACATGCAAGTATCAATGCATAAAAAATAAAACCAGCACATTAGCTCCGTAACCAATACTATCAGCGGTTCTCACTTACGGGTAAAGAACCTCCGCATCACCAAAAACTCAGGACATTCATGATCGAAGAAGAATTGAGTGGACGTGCAAGCTGTAGTAGCAGTAACGTTGCCTAGAAAATAAAATAACTCGAGTTTAAAACAAACAGAGAAAACAATATAAATATTATTTGTAACAATGCAATGGTAGGACCTTTGACGACTTCCAATTTAGCGAATCTGACGATGAGAATTTGGAAATCACCAATCCATTTCTTCCGTTCATTCATAAACGAATCAACAAAGACATCCGGCAATCGGAAAATTAGACGTACACCACTTAAGCACGGAAAAAGAAAATGAGTCACAGCCGTTCCGTTTTCATATTATTATAAAGAATTTAATTCATACCTTCGGTCTTTCATCTGAAAAAAAAAGCGATGGTTAACACGATTCGACTCCGATCGTCGAAAATCAAAAGTAACCAGAAGGCGCCCAATCAAATCTGTGCGTTTCAATATACAGATGGTGATAAACAATCCAAATTAAAAATACTTTAAACGATGTAACGCACAACACTTACCAACACAGAAGCAAGGATTTAGGTGTCCTTCTTTGATATCACTAAACTTCGCGAAATGGAAATTATCACTTTGAGAGAAAGGCCTTATTAAATTGACCGAAGTGAGAGCGTTTGAACCAAGTCGAAATCTATGCGAAGACGGTCTAAACCTTCCGAGAGCCATTCGTAGAACAAAGTCGGATAAAGTTATGCAATTGCCTTCTATGAGGATAGATGAGAACCGTTGCGCGACGTCCCCACCAATTACAGCATGTATCTTTTGACCCTAATGAAACAAATAAAGGACTAATTAGGATACATACAGTATAAACGTTTTGATGATAGCATATAATTATGTACCTTTGGATCTTCCAGTACGAAATCCACGAACCTAACGCCATACGCAGGACACACAAACCTCCTAATAATTCTCACCTTAACCCTCATATTAACCATGCCGGGGCCTAAATCAGCAAAATCAACACAAACATCCGGTTGGTCTACGTCACTTGTGATATCGTGTGAGGAATTTTGAGACATTTTACGACTGAAGAAACAGAGAGAATGCTATCTAATCGATCAAGAGGTGATCATTTAGGGGACACGCGCACCTTTATTTATACCCAAATAAGGAGGTTAATAATTAATAAATAATGTCAGGGATATTCATTGGTCTCACGGTCTACGCAAATTAACATTATATTTAAAAAATGCCATAACAGTATCTTATAAAATTGGAATTTTACCTAATTAGATTCAAACGAATACAATAAATTCGATATAATATCCTTTTATGCTATCAGAATATATTGCTCACCATGGAAACGCTAGATACCCACACGATATTGTCGCTGGACAAAACTGCTATTTTACCATTATGTAAATCGTATAAAGTTAAGGTTTATCGAAACAGTTGATTTGTTACTATCACATTTTTTAAAAAAGCAATTTATTTTTCCGCATAAATTGATATTGTTAATATCCCTAATATTATATTTTCATCGGCCTAAACAATCTTATATTTTATTTTAAAAATCTCATAACAGTATCTTATAATATAGAAATTTAACTTTATTGGATTAATCAGAATATAATAGATTCGATATTCTATCTTTTTCTGTTATAAGAATATATTGTTTACCGTAGGAATGCTAGATTCCAAAACAACATCGTCGCTAGGCAATATTGCTGTTGTACTATAATGTCAATCGTATAAAGTTAAGGTTTATCGAAATCGTTGATTTGTTACTATCCCATTTTTTAAAAAAATGCGAATAGAAACAATACACCATACTCTGAATTACGCAAATCAAATAAGATTTTAAAACATCCTCCGGAGGAGCCGACTAAAGGAACAAAATATAATTCACTCACGTTCTCGACCTTACCAACAACATCTATAAAAAGAACAAAAGAAGGTAAGCAAATAAAAAGTAAGTGGTACACCATTATTAACCCAAAAAAAAAATACAAATCTTACCACGAACACTATATAAATTTTGAATTAGTCATATATATTTGCATCTTCCAAATCCATTTTATTAGGACCACATGCGTGATAACGGGCCGAAAAGAGAGAGAGAAAGAGAAACCAATTCACTAACTAACTTTATGATAAAGTATAACGATTAATTTGTTTGCATAAAAGAATACACCAACTACTAACATTAAGAACTTAAACCAAATCGTTCGAATAAAATGCCAAAGCCAGAATAAGAAATCATTAGTGATAAATGTGAAGCCAAAAGCATACAAAATCCATTTTGAAAACTAATCGTCCGCTTCCCCTCTATCGTAAAACACATCCCTCATTCTTGTAACTTCAACACATCGATAATTTAGCAAAATCCTGGTACATGTGTATACAGTGGTAGCTCTCCAGAAATCTAATAACCAAACAAAGAATAAACAAAAAAACAATAACGCATTAAATAAATTGAACACAAATAAATAATATATTTAAATCCAACACACGACAGAAAAATAAAAATCACATGCAGGAAATGTCAATCGAATTACCTCGAGTAACTTCTAGCCTCGCAAACCTCAATACACATATGATGATATTATCAAGACAATTCCTCCATTCGTTAAAGAACGCATTCGAGTATTCATTTGGTAAACGACACTGCAGACGCTCACCCCTTGAGACCACAGTGATATAAATATTTATATATTAATATATATAAATAAATATATTCACAACAAAACGCAAGATAACAGAAAAAAAAAACATTTAACAACAAAGAAACTCACTCTTCGTTTTCCAGTTCCAAAAATAACTCGTTCCAATCAGAAGCAGGTGGGCCGGACTCTCTTCCATTACCAACCCTCACGACACGTCCAATTAGATCTACATATAAAATTGCACACGATAATATTAAAACAAAAAGCAAAACAATCTCCTACATCAACACATGATAAAATATTATCAATTACACTAAACACATTAACAATTAGAAAATTTGATATTACCAACACATAAAGTAGGGTCCAAAGAACCACTTTTGATATCCTCGAAAGCGACAAACGAAAAGAAATCACCGGAACACAATGGTCGAATGTCCTTAATCGTTGTGCCTGAATTCCATACAATCTTAAAACGATGGGGAACCGGTCTAAAAGCTCCTGTAACAGGAACCAAATCAAAATTAGTTATACTTATCCAATTTCCCTCAACAATTTTCGAGGTGCGCCGATCCTCATACTCCTTGTTTATTACAGCATGAATCTTTTGACCCTAAGACGGTAAAAGGAAAAAAGGCATGTCAATCGATAAATTATAGATTACCAGAAAATTACGAAGAAACATTAGATTGGATACAGATTGAGACAAAGCCCAATATACATTAGTTTACCTTTTCATCCACCAATATTAGTTCCAACGTCTCATACAAATAAAACTTTCTTAGTATTTTAACTTTAATCTTCCACTCATGAACAAAGGGATTCAAATCAGAAACACTAAAAAAACATTCTCTTTTACGAATCGAGTTCCTGATGGCATTAGAGAGAAGATGAGCCATAATAGAAACAAATTTTGCGGAATAAAGAAAAGTGCGAGAATATTATTTATTATACATATATATATATATATATACCAAGTATAATATATATAGGCGAGTATTTAGTTTAGGAAGATTCACAAATATAAAATATAGAAATTGAACAATATCAACATACTAAATAAAACAATTTACTTTTTTTTTGATCAAAACAATTTACTTATGATAAGATAAATCTCCACTAAAACAGAATATATCATAAATAAAATCTTCACTAAAACGGAAATCTATCAAATACTATCGAAAATAAATTCAACCTTTTATCTATATATACTTTTTAAAAATATATACATATATATAATCTATCTATATATATGACCGTTTAAATCTAGCGAATATGGTTGAAACTAATTACAAAACATACCATCATTCATAAAAACAGAAGATTATCATATGTCAAATACGATATATATCAATACCGCATAAAGGAGAACATTATCCTGAGTTCATATTCATACAAACCAAGATGATCGGAGTACAAAACCAAAAACAAACAGTTAACATTTCCGATATACACAAAAGAGTCACACAGGCAACGTCCAGACGAATCACACTACACATCCACCGTTAATGTCCTAGTTCGAATCACTTGTCACACCAACACATGAGGACCTAAGACAAAGCAGCAAAACAAAAAATCAGATACAAAAACAAAAAATAAAAAATAAAATAATAATGAATATAGTAAATGAATACCGACATAGTGCAAAATTCAGCAGCCTCAGGAACATCAGGATATGGCAAAACCTTAGAAATCAGCCCCTTGTTAACAATCCTAACATTCTTTGGTCCATCGAAATATCTGTCTACCTTCCACAGACGCATAATACAGACCAAAGGCTTCGAAACACACAAGTCATAGTGCTTTCGGAACTCCATCGCTGAGCGTCCAGACACCAAACCATCGATAGCATTCCCGCTTTATATTTATTCAAGAAAACACAAACAAAACAACAAAAATAAGAAATGATATAATTAACATTTAACACCAAACAGGACAATACCCAGACAAAATTCACAAAGGGAGAAAATATCTATTTACTAACCAAGGCCCACGAATCCGAAAGCTCAGTCTGAAGCCAGTGAGATCTGATGGATTTGTCCCGACATTCACCAATTCACCAACATCAGACAAAACCCCGATCAAATCTAGTTAAGAAACAGACACAACTATAATTCAGACAGGTATTTCCAAACACAACAAACAAAATGAGCATTATATATAACTTACCAATCAAGACACTCTCGTCAACCGTTCCGTCAATTATCGAACTAAACGGAGTAAAGGAGTCACGGGGTTCAACCGACGGTGGATCGGCGGGAAGAACGACAGTCGTTCCAAAGATAGACATTCTGAAAGGATGATTGGTAAGCCTGACTCTATCAGAGTTCTCAAGAACACGAAACTCCGTAAAAGAAAACCATCGATCTTCTTTCAAAAACTCAGCATAATGTTTCGCATATTCACCATTAATCCAACAATCGATCTTAAAACCCTAGACACACGACATAGTCTGTTTAGTAACTAAGACGAATTAGCATTTTAAAATCAAATCTATATAAAACAAAACCAAAGTACCTTATCATCCACCAGAACCAAACGGAGAGCATTCCTAGGATTTATGCAAACATTAATCATGCGCAGAACCTTCACTCGTATGTGCCAACCCGTAATACAAGGGCGCAAAATCGAAACATCATGGAAGTAAGCCATGGAGAAGGAAACAACTAAAATTGATCACTGGCTATAGATACTTAAATAAGAAATCTCGATAATCCGAAAAGACGAAGCAAGAAACCGAAGAGTTTTTTTTATTCTCTGGTTTTTTTTTTTTTTTGTAAGTAGCAGCGTGAATTAATGAGTGGAATTGGAAGTATATTACAACTAACCTAGAAATTAATCTAATGTAGCATCGATTACTGAATAATCAATAATTAAATAAAAATATTTTTATCCGTTCAGAAGATTTGATGATTGGAAACAGCAAATATCCATATTTCGGCTGTGCAATTATTACAAACCATGCAAGATATGACAACACAAGTCATACATCAAAAATCTGACATAATCTCTACCACAAGCTAATATACAATATAAAATAATTAGAAAATCTATAAAGTAGTTTAGATAACTTCAACGAATCTAAAGATAACGACATATTTAAAACTCGAACACAAAAGATAATTGTTACAAAGCCCAAATAAATATCTCAACATGACATATAATAACATAACACAAGAAGAAGAGATTTTTACAAAAAGAAATTAAACCAACAGAAGAGAGTATCCATGTTTATGCACACTACGGAAATAGGGATATAATTCTTGATTTACACCAAGAACATTAAAAATTCTGATCAACAACTTCACCGGCGTCATCACAATCCTCATCTTCTTCAATAGCCCATGTTACCCTAGCTATAAAAACAGACCTGAGAATAAAATTTATCAAATTAAACAAAATAATAAATTTGAACCCATAACAAAACCAAACTACATATATAAACACTAAAAAATCACAATA